TAATGATGAACACAACGCTTCGGAGTATATGCTTACTCCTTCATCAGGTGTGCATACATATTTGATAATATTATTATCCATTTTGTTAAATATAAAGTGTTAACGCCAGCGAATAATTACTAGTATTCTTATTCTGCTGATAATCGATACTGGTTATTCTCCGGCGTTGACTTATATATTCATTCACGAGGTTCTTCCAAGTAACTAGTCATACTCCAAAGGCTTCTAGATGCTCGGAATTACCAACAGTGAATTAGATACATGTCGCTTTCTGCATCACATAAAGCTAAACAGCCCCACGAATAAGAACAAGAATATGCCTAAATAAAGAACCCTGGTATTCTATCTTATTGGGTGATGATTGAATTCCCAAGTGCCCTGCAGTCCAAATACATTGTCATGTTGGCAATTCAATGTCAGTCGTCGTTATTTAACTATAAAATATATTCCTAGGTAAATAATTTGAAATACAAATACCTGAGACTTGGTGAGTTTTCTTCCAAATTTGTTTCCACAAACGAATCTAAATATTCTGAACAATCTATTTATCCCTTACCCGAGCAGTTGCTTCGTTGCACTAAAAGGTTTCTTCAACTATAGCTGAAACCACTTGAAGTTTTGGCTTCAGGTCACTGACTAACAAAGATCAAGCAATCAGATAGGACACCTGGCATGGTAAAAAAATATATATTTGACGTATTCTTGACTTCAACTATATTTTCCCACGATCTTTTGAGGCATTGATTTGTGGATACTTTGTAAGGAAGTACATATGCCCCGACAAGAGAAACAATCGATGAATAGATGGATCCCTTAATCTACGTTGACGTTTCAGTTGTTTGTGACGTTTCAGTTGTTTGTGACGTTTCAGTTGTTTGTGACGTTTCAGTTGTTTGTGACGTTTCAGTTGTTTGTAACGTTTCAGTTGTTTGTGACGTTTCAGTTGTTTGTAACGTTTCAATTGTTTGTGACGTTTCAGTTGTTTGTGACGTTTCAGTTGTTTGTAACGTTTCAGTTGTTTGTGACGTTTCAGTTGTTTGTAACGTTTCAGTTGTTTGTAACGTTTCAGTTGTTTGTAACGTTTCAGTTGTTTGTGACGTTTCAGTTGTTTGTAACGTTTCAGTTGTTTGTGACGTTTCAGTTGTTTCTAACGATTCAGTTGTTTGTGACGTTTCAGTTGTTTGTAACGTTTCGATACTTGACAGCTGACATTGCTTAGCAAAGCCATAAACGATCCTGTTTTAGTAGCGTATAAATACGTTCATACAGTATGTACACACGCCACGTCAGTGTTCACAAATGATATAGCGTTATGGTATGGGGGTAATTGTTTGACCTATAGTTCTACCATTTCAAAATGCCCCTATCTGAGTATAAATTGAGTTGTACCAACTGTAAATGCTTTTGCCTTTGACAGAATTTTTGTACACATGTCCACCGTGGTAAACGAAATTCTTGTCTTGCCATAATAGTAAAGCCCGTCTTCGCGAATATCCAGGGTCAACGCAAACATTGTTTTAACCTTCAGTTCACGAGGTTCTTCCAAGTAACTAGTCATACTCCAAAGGCTTCTAGATGCTCGGAATTACCAACAGTGAATTAGATACATGTCGCTTTCTGCATCACATAAAGCTAAAAAGCCCCCACGGATAAGAACAAGAATATGCCTAAAATAAAGAACACTGGTATTCTATCTTATTGGGTGATAATTGAATTCCCAAGTGCCCTGCAGTCCAAATACATTGTCATGTTGGCAATTCAATGTCAGTCGTCGTTATTTAACTATAAAATATATTCCTAGGTAAATAATTTGAAATACAAATACCTGAGGCTTGGTGAGTTTTCTTCCAAATTTGTTTCCACAAACGAATCTAAATATTCTGAACATCTGTTTATCCCTTACCAGAGCAGTTGCTTCGTTGCACTAAAAGGTTTGTTCAACTATAGCTGAAACCACTTGAAGTTTTGGCTTCAGGTCACTGACTAACAAAGATCAAGCAATCAGATAGGACACCTGGCATGGTAAAAAAATATATATTTGACGTATTCTTGACTTCAACTATATTTTCCCACGATCTTCTGAGGCATTGATTTGTTGATACTTTGTAAGTAAGTACATATGCCCTGACAAGATAAACAATCGATGAATAGATGGATCCCTTAATCTACGTTGACGTTTCAGTTGTTTGTAACGTTTCAGTTGTTTGTAACGTTTCAGTTGTTTGTGACGTTTCAATTGTTTGTGACGTTTCAGTTGTTTGTGACGTTTCAGTTGTTTGTAACGTTTCAGTTGTTTGTGACGTTTCAGTTGTTTGTGACGTTTCAGTTGTTTGTAACGTTTCAGTTTGTTTGTCAGCACCATACCCGTGCTCGTTGGTTTCACCGAAGTGGTAAACGTCTAAGACCTGCATCACTGGGGGCTTTCCTTCCACATTAAGGTGACACACTGGAATACTGTTAAAAGCGGCAACTCACTCACTAGGACAGAAAGTAGATACCCAACGTTTCATACTCTTATTCGCGATGTTTCTTCTTGCCACAAATGCTCCTTGGAGCAATAGTCCTTCACAGAACATTTAGACATCCTTCTCGAGACCCATCTGCATCTGCATTCTCCTGGGGGCGGTCGGGTAGCCTAGTGGTTAAAGCGTTCGCTCGTCACGCCGAAGACCCGGGTTCGATTCCCGACATGGGTACAATGTGTGAAGCCCATTTCTGGTGTCCCCCGCAGTGATATTGCTGGAATATAGCTAAAAGCGGCGTAAAACCATACTCACTCACTCATCTTATTCTCCTGACTTACTTCGAGTCTCCTCAAACTTGACGTTCGTACTGTAACTGTCATTGAATCAGAATTGAGCTCTAATACCACTGCCGCCGTCATATAGCTGGAATATTGCTGAGTGCGGCGTTAAACAACAAACAAACAAACAAACAAACTAATACCACTGCCTTTTCCTGTGCTACTGGAACTCCAATGCCCTTGCAAACCTGTTCAAATGTATTCAGATACTTTTGACAATGACTTCCAGACAAAGGAAGTTCGAAACAACCGTGTTTGACTGTACCGAACTATCTGTACTATCGAACATAGTTCAACATGAATACACAATGCATGCAACATATACATTTCCTAAATAGCAGAATGTCCACATTTACAATATTCCTGATTATTACACATCTGATAATAATCATACAGATAAAGCCTACAATATGCCTTTAGATCCAAATAGTAGTGAATTAACAACCATGACTACACACTGAGATCCAACACATTCATAACATTCATGGTCATCAAATCCCTAACTTTTGACACTATCACTACTATTACATTCCTTAAAGTTATTTAATGCCATTTTAAGATTAATATATTCTAATAGTAAGTTTAGTAAGTAATAATAACATATGAGCATCGATCCACGCAATTGGGATCGATGGCAGGCATCAACCAAGTCAGCGAGCCTGACCACCCGATCCCGTTAGTCGCTTCTTCCGACAAGCATGAAAACAACTAACTAGGACTGGTCGGCTCGGAGTCAGGGCCCCGTTCCACAAAGCGATCTTAGTGCTACGTTGATCGTAAGCCTATGACAAAGTATGGGAGTTACGACCAACTTAGCACTAAGATCGCTTTGTAGAACGGGGCTCAGAACTATACTGCAGCGTGGCATCGCCAGCATTAGTCCGGACCAGTACAAACAGTCACACACACAAACACGTACATGCACGTCGCTATGCAAGAGCCATACATTTGAAACCCCATTTCACATCACCTATGCAGTCCCCAGGAACCATGGATAGCATCTGCTGTTTGATCAACCAACGCTGAACGACTTCAAAGTCCGCCCGAACTTGCCAACCCCGTATTCATCTGATTCCCTGTGTGGAATATTAACGTCAACCCTCATATCAACAAATGAAGATAACATGCTAATTCTGTACGATAATGAACCGCTGCTTTGATTTGAGGTTTATCCTTACCTTTGAAGTTGTGTCTTTTGTTAACTGTATTTTCATCCCCAAAAGTATGATAACGATTCCCACAAAAGTTATATCATATGAATAATATAAAACATATAAATCCATGTTTTAAACATCATTATCATCTTTGCCATAATCATCTCAATTTCATCGGTAGCATCACCATCGCTATGCATACAGTGATCAATACCAGCATTATAACTGCTTTGAAAAAGTATCATTGATGTGAATACAGTATCATTGATGTGAATACAGTATCATTGATGTGAACACAATATCATTGATGTGAACACAGTATCATTGATGTGAATACAGTATCATTGATGTGAATACAGTATCATTGATGTGAATACAGTATCATACAGTATCATTGATGTGAATACAGTATCATTGATGTGAATACAGTATCACACAGTATCATTGATGTGAATACAGTATCATACGGTATCATTGGTGTGAATACAGTATCATCGAGTGTCATTGATGTGAATACAGTATCATTGATGTGAATACAGTATCATACAGTATCATTGATGTGAATACAGTATCATTGATGTGAATACAGTATCATTGATGTGAATAAAATCACCATTGCTGTAAGTGATATGAGTATTGTGATCCTCCGTGTGCAGCCCTTCTGTGTCGGTGTGCAGCCCTTCTGTGTCGGTGTGCAGCCCCTCTGTGTCGGTGTGCAGCCCTTCTGTGTCGGTGTGCAGCCCTTCTGTGTCGGTGTGCAGCCCCTCTGTGTCGGTGTGCAGCCCTTCTGTGTCGGTGTGCAGCCCTTCTGTGTAGGTGTGCAGCCCTTCTGTGTCGGTGTGCAGCCCTTCTGTGTAGGTGTGCAGCCCTTCTGTGTCGGTGTGATGCCTGTATATCAAATACATGACAACTCACAAAAGACCAAACTGGATAATAATGAATGTTTATATGCGCGTGAACGTGTCAGCTGCTGAGGGACATGATCTGCATCTCATTATCATACCTATGGCTATTAATACCTGCTCCGTTGTTTCATCGCGATACAGACCTCCATGCGATACGGACCTCCATTAACTATGTCGAAAGTAATGAAAATCATGGTAGCCATGTGCGACGGCAACCGAGGTATTGGAAATAATGGTAGATTACCTTGGCCACGCCTGAAGTAAGTTTTTCTGTTTGTTGGTTTGTTGTTTGAAGGTAATCTTCAACTACCAGAAGCATTCTTGTTATGTTGCCTACACTGGAAGGCGAGCTAAACTGAGAATGATAAGTGCGTTAGATTTATAGCAACAAGTGCATTGGCTATGTAAAATAATGAAGTTGTGCAAATGAGGCTGCTCTTACATTGTCTGTATTACAGTATGACATAGCAGCCCTTTAACGCTCAGGGAAACAGATTGTTTGTTTGTTTGGTTTGTGTGTGTGTTTAACGTCGTACTCCGCAATATTCCAGCTATGTGACGGCGGTTTATAAGAAATCGAGTCTGGACCAGACAGTCCAGTGATTGACATCATGAGCATCGATCCAAGCAATTGGGATACGATGACATGCATCAACCAAGTCAGCGAGCCTGACCACCCGATTCTATAGTCGCCTCTTATAACGAGCATGGGTAGCATGGGTCCTTAATAGTGTATACAATACCAGATACGATTGTTGCCTCATTTTCAACACGGGCGGTCGGGTAGCCTAGCGGTTAAAGCGTTCGCTGAAGACCCGTGTTCGATTCCCGACATGGGTACAATGTGTGAAGCCCATTTCTGGTGTTCCCCGCCGTGATATTGCTGGAATATTGCTAAAAGCGCGTAAAACCATACTCACTCACTCACTCATTTTCAACACAGGTTATCATGAGTACCAGAATATGTGCCGTTGACCATTTGCGTCAGATTCCAAAATAAAGTACAAAACCTGAACCACGTCTCATGGTTGGATTGTCACAGTGGTTACTGGTCAGCCATACGTATAGTGTTATTGGCGATTGTAACACTGAATATGGGTTTCATTGAAGGATTTCGTGTCTGACGTTAGCTGATAATGCTGATCACAAACACGCGAGGGAATGCACGACTTGTGGTGATAAATCGCCATAAATATACAAAATAATAAGGTGAGTGAGTGAGTTTGATTTTACGCCGCTTTTAGCAATATTCCATCAATATCACGGCGGGGGACACCAGAAATGGGCTTCACACATTGTACCCATGTCGGGAATCGAACCCGGGTCTTCAGCGTGACGAGCAAACGCATTAACCACCAGGCTACCCGACCGCCCCTCAAAATATTAAGGCTTTACAACGAAGGATGGTACGTTACCAGATAAAAGTAAAATTCATTTAATAAATTCATTTCATGATTACCGTTTTCGACGTAATAAATTTAGAAATAGGGGGCATTTATTAGAATATTATTTTGGTGAAAAAAAACAGAGTTGAAAGATAAATTTCCTGGTTTATGCTGACAGCCTGAAATGGCTATGTACGACATATATATTTTTCCAGAATTTAATTGCCAATAATTAAGGGTGCATATAACACACGAGTACGTTTTATACGCAAATAATGTCTTGTGTACATTGATCAATCGGAAGTGGTGCTAATTGGGATTGTTCACTAGCCAATATATTAGCAAATACCGCCATGTGCGCTTATTAGAGCGGGGAGCTTATGACGTCGAATACGGTATATGTAATGTCAACATTATAACCATGTTCGACACCAGCAATCACAACCAGAGTTTTACTGTTGTGAGTGCCCCAACCTTAGTGCAAATCCAAATTGGGTATTTCTGAATAAAGGACGTAATCAGAGGCCCATAGATGTGTGTGTGTATGTGTATATTTGTCTGTGTGTATGGTGTGTGTGTGTGTGTGTGATGGGTGTGGTGGATGTGTGTTTATGTGTGTGTGTGTGTGTGTGTGTGTGTGTGTGTGTGTGTGTGTGTGTGTGTGTGTGTGTGTGTGTGTGTGTGTGTGTGTGCTGATGTGTGTGAATGTTCGTGTGTGTGTCTGTGTGTGTGTGTGCGAGTGTGTGGTGGATGTGTATTTATGTGTGCGTGTGTATTTATGTGTGTGTGTCTGTGTGTGTGTGTGTGTGTGTGTGTGTGTGGACGGACGGACGGACGGACGGAGGAAGAATGAAGTGTGTCATAACTCCTGTGTCCTGTTCACACTTTTGGCGAACACCCGGGGACATCACTGATTGTCAGTTATCCATCCACATAATTGTCACGGCTATTTTGACCTTTACGCCCAATGAAATCAGCTGGGTGGATAAACAAGACAGCCTATTCTCTTGCATTTGACTTTTCCGAACAGCAGCTCCACAATACACACTACATGTCGTGTAAAAAGTGGGGATTGGATGGTCAGGTTCTTATTTGTAGCTCATGCTTTCAGTCTCCGTTTAGACTCTGTTATGGTCAGGCCGCGATGTAGCTGGAATATCACTGACATCGGCGTTAAATAACATTCAGGGAGGTGGGGTGTGGATATCATTTGTATATGACATTTCATCTTTCTTTGCAGAGAAGATTATGACTACTATCTGAACACAGTGATACACAGACATAACCCAGGTAAGATGTTCAACGTCTTGTCGAAACAGGACGCTACTACAACAAGGATGGGAGTACTTCTACTATTGCTACCCCGCAACCATATGGTATGGCTAGGCTTTCGCTAAAAGCGAAGCCTCATCACTATTGCTGATGCTGTTAGCGCTGCTGCAACTAATTCTACCACAACCACTTTTACTACTACTACTACTACTACTACTACTACTACTACTACTAATTCTGAAACTACTGCCACTACAATTTCTACTTCTTCTACTACTACCATTACTACTACTTCTGCTACTATTACTACAGCTACTACTTCTACCACTACCACTTCTACAACTACTAGTTCTACTTCAACTACTACTACTTCATCTTCTACCACTAAAACTACTACCACTACTACTTTTACTACTTCTACTACTACTGACCCGTGAAGATCCGGGGTAGACTAGATCTTCAGCAACCCATGCTTGCCCTATAAGGCGACTATGCTTGTCGTAAAAGGCGATTCACGCGATCGAGCTCGCTGACTTGGTTGATGCATGTCATCGTGTCCCAATTGTGTGGATTGATGCTTATGATGTCAATCACTGGACTGTCTGGTCCAGACTCGATTATTTACAGACCGCGTCATATAGCTGGAATATTGCTGAATGCGGCGTTACCCCATCTTCAAAACAATCTAACTACGACGAAAACTGGATACATTTTGAACAAAATAGCAATTTACCCCCAACATCAGTCTTTGATGGGGGAGTAAATGCTTTGCGTGATTTAATTTTTGTGTTCAGGTGAAAGTGCGGAATTAAAAAAACATGCTCTGACCTACAGTCGAAATCGCCCCCTAAAATTGTCCATCCTCCATGTGTCCACCACAGTCCCGTGAGGCATGACGTACATCCTCCATGTGTCCACCACAGCCACGTGAAGCATGACGTACATCCTCCATGTGTCCACCACAGTCTCTGGGGCATGACGTACATCCTGCATGTGTCCACCACAGTCTCTGGGGCATGACGTACATCCTGCATGTGTCAACCACAGCCACGTGAAGTATGACGTACATCCCCCATGTGTCCACCACAGTCCCTGAGGCATGACGTACATCCCCCATGTGTCCATCACAAGGGGGGCGGTCGGGTAGCCTAGTGGTTAAAGCGTTCGCTCGTCACGCTGAAAACCCGGGTTCGATTCCCGACATGGGTACAATGTGTGAAGCCCATTTCTGGTGTGCCCCGCCGTGATATTGCTGGAATATTGCTAAAAGCGGCGTAAAATCAAACTCACTCACTCACTCACTCCACCACAAGGAAAGGCGTCAGTGGGGTATCTCATGTGTCATAGCATTTTCTCATTACGCCTGATATTTGTTGGAGGCATATTTTTTTTAACATATATTCTTTCCAGAAAATCCAGCATCTCCTGCGAATTGTTTTGCGTAAAACCTCACAACAAATCGATATATTTCCGTTTTATTTCTGGAATAAATAGTTGTTTTTCAAAAGAAAACCTCAGTCCAAGATTGATCAAATGGTGGGTTCCTAATATTTTGGATCACAGGCAAATGTCGTTATGATATATATGCGTTTGTTTCTCTCTACAGAGAAGAAGAATGTTCACATTCAGGGCCGAAGGACATGGAGGGCTGTGGATTCGACCAGGACGTCGGACCCCAATCAAATTCAGATCGTAATCAGTAGAACCTTACAGTACGTAAAATGCGCGAGTATTATGCATGTAGACTGGAAGCTGTATCTGTTTTTAATTTTAATTTATAGAATTAACAAGCGGGGATCGATGCTCATGATATCAATCACTGGATTGTCCAGACTCGATTATTTACAGGCCGCCGTCGTTCACATGGAATACCGAATTTCGTTTTAAACAACGAATAATTATTATATATACACATTGCATCAGTTTCAGACCGATTCGACTGATGCTATAAATAACCGTCCAATCAATTTACTTACACGAGCGAGGGAAGTCCTGTGCTAAGTTACAGATAAGTCAGATTGAAATGTGTATGAAAGAACCTATCAAAGCGAACAATCGACATTGGAAAAAGCCACATGTTTAAAGTGAGTGAGTGAACTTGGCCTCTTTGAAGAGGTGAGGTGAAATGGGGTTTAACGTCGCGTCCAAGATGATTGCACTTATATAGTGACGTGCATGCACGTGTATGTGTGTGTGTGTGGCTGCTTGTACTAGTCCGGACTGATGCCGATTTATAGTGCTAGCACACTGAGATACCTGGCCGCTGTTTAACATGAATACCCCACTCAGACACAGTATACTGACTCCGAGCCGACCAGTCCTTGCTTTAGCCCCTTAATGCCGAGCGCCAGACAGGGTACCAACAAGTACCATATTTTAACGTCTTTTTGGTATGACGCGGCTGGGGATCGAACCCCGGACCTTCCGTCCTCCGGGCGGACGCTCTACCATTAGACCACGGAGGCGGTTTTTTTAACAGTATTTCAGTTCGTAATAGTAGGTCGTTGACGTTCCATACTTTGCTGACAAACCTCATTCTTGTAATAAACTGCTCGACTAAAGAAGAAATACACCCCTCTTTGATGGTGGCTGAAATTGAAACAAACAAGTAATGATTAGTCTATGGTGATGTATTTCATACAGGTGACATAGTTATGTTTTGGACCTTAAGTTTGAAATTTTTCGGCAATTGGTTTCAGCCAAGTAACGTTTTGATAACGTTTGTAATTGTTTGGTCAAATCCAATTTTCAAGTGTATACTTTCTTTTGAATGTAGATATCCCTTAATGTTTCAGTGGCAGCAAGGATCCATTAAAACCCATTGTTGTTCCTACTTTTGAGGAAGCTGTCCTGGTCGCAACATCACCGGAAATACAGAGTCAGATCGAGTCAATATGGATCATCGGTGGTGAACGTGTGTACGAGGTATACTTTTGTATGACAAACTGATTAAGTCCAGGGATTCTTCAGCATTAATACAATCGTATTGTCATATTAATGTCATCGTATCCAAGTTACGTTGGTCGGTGCTCATGGTGTCAATAACTTGATTGTCTGGTCCAGATTCGATTATTTACATACCTCCGCCATGCAGATGGAATATTGAGTTTGGCGTTTAACATCAAACCCAAAATATAACATTATGAAGTACCAATGAGGTCAATGGCGGCCCTTGTGGTATAGACATCTTATGGTTACGGGGAAGGGCTTATTAAACCGAAATTCTCTTCCTTCCATGCTACGACAGTACACAATGTGTGCTTATCATATAGCTGCGAGGGGGCACGGGTGGCCCAGTCGTCTAAGGCGCCGCGATTCGCTGTGCAGAGTTGCGTCCCTTGGGCACGCCAGAAACCTATGATTGTGGGTTCGAATTCCGGTTCGCTCCGATTATGTTTCTAGGTTTGTCAGTACCATACCCGTGCTCGTGGGTTTCCCCGAAGTGGTAAACGTCTGAGACCTGCATCACTTAGGGCTTTCCTCCCACATTAAGCTGACACGCCGCGATATAACTGGAATATTGTTAAAAGCGGCGTTAAACCCAACTCACTCACTCACTATAGCTGCGACTGTGCTAAGAGCGGCTCAATTGTTGCATAATGACTCGAAATGCCGGAGTTACGAGCCGTATGCATGGTCTTGTCACCACCACCATCATCATCATATTCTATTCTCGTGAGGATGCGACCACCTCCGTGGTCTAGTGGATAGAGCGTCTGGCCGCAAAGCAGATGATCGTTGATTCGATCGCCAAGGGTTATCCAAGGGACGTTAACATGTGGGACTTGTTATTGCCCTGCCTGGCGCGGGGCATTTAAGGGGTAGAACAAGAACTGTGCGCCTCGGAGGAATCAGTATACCATGTCTGATTCGAGCATGTGTGTTAAACTGCGGCATTGTATCAATTTATAAAACCGGTTATTGAAGTGTAATATCTTGAACGCGACGTTAAAGCCCATTTCCCGTCATCTCAGCTCTTAATTCTAGGGGGCGGTCGGGTAGCCTAGTGGTTAAAAGCGTTCGCTCGTCACGCCGAAGACCCGGGTTCGATTCCCGACATGGGTACAATGTGTGAAGCCCATTTCTGGTGTCCCCCGCCGTGATATTGCTGGAATATTGCTAAAAGCGGCGTAAAACCATACTCACTCACTTACTCTTAATTCTAGGCGGCGATTGCCCACCCGCTGTGCAAGCGTATCTACCTAACCAGGATCTACAAGGACTTTGTCTCCGATGTCTTCTTCCCCCCTTTTGAAGAGAGATTCGCCGAGAGCAGGTAATAGCAAAGGAACGGGAGATGCCACAGTAGGGTTCAATCTGTGCACAACTCACTTGCGTGGCCTGGTTTGATAGAGGTCCTGCTCAGTGTTTTGTTTGTGTGTTGTTAAACGCCGCACTCAGCAACATTCCAGCTACATGACGGCGGTTTGTAAATAATCGAGTTTGGACCAGATAATCCAGTGATTGACATCATGAGCATCGATCTACGCAATTTTGATACGATGACCTGCATCAACCAAGTCTGCGAACCTGACCACTTGATCCCGTAGGTCCCTTCTTACGAGTGATGGATGGTGGGTAAGGAAAGGGGCGAGGAGTGATGGATGCACTTGATGGTGGTTGGGAAAGGAGTGATGAGTGATGGATGGTGGGTTGTGAAAGGATTGATGAGTGATGGATGCACTGGATGGTGGTAGGGAAAGGAGTGATGAGTGATGGATGGTGGGTTGTGAAAGGATTGATGAGTGATGGATGCACTGGATGGTGGGGAGGGAAAGGGACGAGGAGTGATGGATGCACTGGATGGTGGGTACGGGAAGGGACGATGAGTGATGGATGCACCTGATGGTGGTAGGGAAAGGAGTGATGAGTGATGGATGGTGGGTTGTGAAAGGATTGATGAGTGATGGATGCACTGGATGGTGGGTAGGGAAAGGGACGAGGAGTGATGGATGCACTGGATGGTGGGTAGGGAAAGGAGTGATGAGTGATGGATGGTGGGTTGTGAAAGGATTGATGAGTGATGGATGCACTGGATGGTGGGTAGGGAAAGGAGTGATGGATGGTGGGTAGGGAAAGGGGCGAAGAGTGATGGATGGTGGGTAGGGAAAGGGGCGAAGAGTGATGGATGGTGGGTAGGGAAAGGGGCGAGGATTGATGGATGGTGGGTAGGGAAAGGGGCGAAGAGTGATGGATGGTGGGTAGGGAAAGGGGCGAGGATTGATGGATGGTGGGTAGGGGAAGGGGCGAGGAGTGATGGATGGTGGGTAGGGAAAGGGACGAGGAGTGATGGATGGTGGGTAGGGAAAGGGGCGAAGAGTGATGGATGGTGGGTAGGGAAAGGGGCGAAGAGTGATGGATGGTGGTAGGGAAAGGGGCGAAGAGTGATGGATGGTGGTAGGGAAAGGGGAGAAGAGTGATGGATGCACTGGATGGTGGGTAGGGAAAGGGGCGAAGAGTGATGGATGGTGGGTAGGGAAAGGGTCGAGGAGTGATGGATGGTGGGTAGAGAAAGGGGCGAAGAGTGATGGATGGTGGGTAGGGAAAAGGGCGAGGAGTGATGGATGGTGGGTAGGGAAAGGGGCGAGGAGTGATGAATGGTGGGTAGGAAAGGGGCGAGGAGTGATGGATGGTGGGTAGGAAAGGGACGAGGAGTGATGGATGGTGGGTAGGGAAAGGGGCGAGGAGTGATGGATGGTGAGTAGGGAAAGGGACGAAGAATGATGGATGGTGGGTAGGGAAAGGGACGAGGAGTGATGGATGGTGGGTAGGGAAAGGGACGAGGAGTGATGGATGGTGGGTAGGGAAAGGGACGAGGAGTTATGGATGGTGGGTAGGGAAAGGGGCGAAGAGTGATAGATGGTGGGTAGGGAAAGGGGCGAGGAGTGATGGATGGTGGGAAGATAAAGGGACGAGGAGTGATGGATGCACTGGATAGTGGGAAGATAAAGGGACGAGGAGTGATGGATGGTGGGTAGATAAAGGGACGAGGAGTGATGGATGGTCGTAGGGAAAGGGGCGAGGAGTGATGGATGGTGGGAAGATAAAGGGACGAGGAGTGATGGATGCACTGGATAGTGGGAAGATAAAGGGACGAGGAGTGATGGATGGTGGGTAGGGAAAGGGACGAGGAGTGATGGATGCACTGGATAGTGGGAAGATAAAGGGACGAGGAGTGATGGATGCACTGGATAGTGGGAAGATAAAGGGGCGAGGAGTGACGTCTATGTTTTGTTTTCCAGTGACCCTGATGTGGACGGAAAGATGAGAGAGGATAACGGAATTGCTTTCCGGTTTGAAGTTTACGACCGGAAGTGCTGAAAGACAGCAGCGCCATACAGCGTCGAGTTTGGATAACAGAAACTGATTATGACGTGGCAGATTCTGATTGACTGGAGATGGGAAAACCGTTCTTAAAAATCAATAAATTTGTTTTTCGGCACAATTTACAATATTTTAAACAGGGTAGGGGTGATGTGGTTGCAAATTAATTATTTTTCTCTCCCCAGTCTTTATTGAACCGTTTTATTTTTACACAAAATCACCTTCCCACGGATTATCTTTGACGAGGAATGAGTGATGTTAAATACACATAAAATTTCAATTTCAATTTCAATTACATAAATATTACTTGGCATCCTCTCTTTTACCCCTCGGAATATACTTCCTGGCGCAGTAGAGAAACACGGATCATACAAATGTGTTTGATGATGTGGGTTTTATTGCTTTACCATTTGATAAATCTCCTGTACACACAACAATGAACGAAACAGACCTGGATAGCTTGATTTGGTAAAATTGTTGGTGACACCTAAAATGCTCTTTCCTTTTCTCCCCTGTCGGGAATCCGGGTCAGAATATCCAAAGCAACTTATGCTTTTTGTACGAGGCGACTTACTGGATCGGGTGGTCAGGCTCGGTGAATTTGATGATTGCAAGTCATCGTATCCATCGTTTCTCATAATATCGGGGCAGTGGGGATATTCTAGGGGTTAAAGCGTTGGCTCGTTTAAAACTAACTCACTCACTCATAATATCAGTGATTGTGTTTTCAAAACCCTGGACGACCCATGCAAACCCGTGTTTTACCAAGGTACAACACAAGTAAACCATGGTAACCAATGTTAACTCGCGTTAACGGATTTACGGCATACTTCCCCCTTACTGAACACTTAAAGCTAATTGGTTCCATTTATTGATTGAATCATGATTTTGTTTGTTTGTTTGTTGTTTAACGCCGCACTCAGCAATATTCCAGCTATATTACGGCGGTCTGAAAATAATCGAATCTGGACCAGACAATCCAGTGATTGACATCATGAGCATCGATCCACGCAATTGGGATCGATGACATGCATCAACCAAGTCAGCGAGCCTGACCACCCGATCCCGGATTGAATCATGAATAGAAATAAGTTAATTAATATAATTAAGTAGATATATTCACTGTATATGTCTTTTTATTGATATGCGTCAGGGTATTTTCTCGGGTCATGGTATTGAGCCCTTGAGGTCCCATGGCCTGGTTAGTAGCTTCGAAGTGAGATCGTCGTTAAAATTATTCAGTCATGAATGAGACATTTTAATGAATATAATTAACTAGTATATTTGTATTCTGATATGCTTCTGGGTAATTGAATTTCTGATTGTTGATAGAGATACTTTAGAATCAATAATGCAACTTTGATGATGATATTGCATCTCTGTTTGAAGTTTGCCGCCTCGTTTTGAACTTTATCCCTGGAATAATACAGAACTAGGACATGGTCAGTTTCTTTTGGATGTGAGGATACATACATTTCAACTCTGAAAGTAGAGTAATTTATAGTACCCGTGAATATCCGGTTTAGAATAGGTCTTGAACAACCAAGCACCCTCAGCATGGGTTGGTGAGGACTAATTATCAAGTAAACGTTTGACCTAGAGTGTTTCATTCAGACTAATACCAGAGACACATTCATACACATACATTGGCGGGTAAACAATCTCACTGAGCAGGAGACCCGTGAAGATCCGGGGTAGAATAGGTCTTCAGCAACCCACGCTTCCTGTAAAAGTTGACTTTGCTTGTCGTAAGAGGCGACTAACGGGATCGGGTGGTCAGGCTCGCTGACTTGGTTGATTCATGTCATCGTATCCCAATTGCGTGGATCGATGCTCATGATGTCAATCACTAGATTGTCTGGTCCAGACATGATTATTTACAGACCACCGTCATGTGGCTGGAATATTGCTGAGTGGAGCGTTAAACAACAAAGAAACAAACAATGTGAGGTATTGCCATAATCGACTCGAGGACATAACCAAAGGTGTTGAGCATGTACAATGAAGAAAGGTAATTGACAAAGTTATAAACAGCAATGGAAAACCTTTTATGGATTTTTTAACTGTTTGTAACGTGTGTGGCACGCAATGATCCGGGGTAGGATAGGTCTTCAGCAACACATGCTTGCCGTAAAAGGTGACTATGCTTGTTGTAAGAGGCGACTAACGGGATTTGGTGGTCAGGCTCGATGACTTGATTGATGCATGTCATCGTATCGCAATTATTGCGTGGATCGATGCTCATGATGTCAGTCACTGGATTGCCTGGTCCAGACTCGATTATTTACAGACCGCCGTCATATAGCTGGAATATTGCGGGAAGAGTGCGGCGTTAAACAAACAAACAAACAAACAAATCAAAGGTAGGAAGAGATCACATCACTTCTCATATCAAAGTACCCTAGGTAGATTCGTACTTGATTACATCATCAGTCCACGTGACCAGTTGAGGTATGTGAGAGATCTCAATGGTCATGATGTCAGTGACCTCATCAGTGTTGCAGCCTCTTGACCAGATCATGCAACACTGACGTGGAGAATCGCTCATAAAATATCTGATGAAATGTCTTCATCATGTCCAGAAGAAATGACAAAAATGGAGGGCAGTTGTATGGTGGGAAGATGTATGTATATTGGAATATATGCAAATCTGCCGGTGTATACGTGAATGTGTGTGTGTTTGTGTGTGCGCGCGCGTGCGTGTGCGTGCCCATGTGTGTGCGGGCGCGCGTGTACAGGTGTGTGTGCGCGCGTGGTGCGTGCCTCTGTGTGTGTTGGCGCGTGTGTGTATGTGTGTGTGTGTGATGTGTGTACGTGTGTGTGGTGAGTCTGCGTGTATACGTGTGTGGTGTGCGTGTGTATATGTGTGTATCTGCGCATGCGGGCGTGCGTGGTGTGTGTGAGTGTGCGTGGTGTGTGTGTATGTGTATGTGTCTGGTGTTTTGCATGCAGGGTGTGTGTGTGTGTGTGTGCGTGGTGTGTGTGTGTGTGGTGTGTGTGTACGTACGTGTGTGTGTGTGTGTGTGGTGTGTGTGTGTATCTGTGGGTCTGGTGTTTTCCATGCAGGGTGCATGTGTGTGTGTGCGTGTGTGTGTGTGCGTGTGTGTGTGTGTGCGTGGTGTGTGTGTGTGTGGTGTGTGTGTACGTACGTGTGTGTGTGTGGTGTGTGTGTATGTGTATGTGTATCTGTGGGTCTGGTGTTGTGCATGCAGGGTGCATGTGTGTGTGTGTGACAATCTTCATTTCATCATCTGTTTGATTGAGTATGGTTTTACGCCGCCTTTAGCAATATTTCAGCAATATCACGGCGGGGGACACCAGAAATGGGCTTCACACATTGTACCCGTGTCGGAAACGACCCCGGGTCTTCGGTGTGACGAGCGAGCACTTTAACCACAAGGTTACCCGACCGCCCCGCATTTGATTGTGACGGTACCACCGGTGGGGCAGAATACGCTCACCTTTTCGCGAACACTTGCCATCATTACTATTTGATAGTGATTCATAAACACATGCTCATGATATACGTGGAATCGTACAATGGACTCTGCTCTTGGCAGAAATTTCCTGGATATGGAAAGAGTTTTGTCGGTTTTGTCTACGCTGACACAACACTGGCGGGAACACGGGATTTTTGCTACGGACAGAATAATTTTGTCACTGTCCTATCACACAAAGCCTTGGCCTACATACATGGTATACAGTGTATGTTAGTAGTTAAAGGTGTGGCTCTCAAAATCTCATCACGTTTCAAATACGTCTGGAGGTCACTATGGCCTGTTTTACACAGACAGAAAACGTCGAGTGAGTGAGTGAGTGAGTGAGTGAGTGAGTAAACAAAATACAGGAATATATTTAATAATTGCGTGGAGAGTTGTTATATGATGGGGTTTTGCTAACTGGATAATGATTATTTATATGTTGCGTACTAACGCCGATACGCAGTTTATCTGGCGCACCACGTGAGTTCTTCAGATCTATTTACTTTTGTGCCCTACATATAACGACCAGAGACCCAACCTACTTACCACATGAAGTCTGACTCAACCTTATTTTAACGTAATGACTTGTACAGGCAAATTTACTAGTAGTTTAGCATACCCAGATCTGTTAGCATACTCAACCTTATTTTAACGTAATGACTTGTACAGGCAAATTTACTAGTATTTTAGCATACCCAGATCTGTTAGCATACTCAACCTTATTTTAACGCAAGGACTTGTACAGGCAAATTTACTAGTAGTTTAGCATACCCAGATCTGTTAGCATACTCAACCTTATTTTAACGCAAGGACTTGTACAGGCAAATTTACTGGTAGTTTAGCATTCCCAGATCTGTTAGCATACTCAACTTTATTTTAACGCAAGGACTTGTACAGACAAATTTACTAGTATTTTAGCATTCCCAGATCTTTTAGCATACTCAATCATATTTTAACGCAAGGACTTGTGCAGACAAATTTACCACGCACGCACGCACGCACGCACACACACACACACACACACACACACACACGTGCATGCACGTCGCTATATAAGTGCAATAATCATGGACGCGACGTTAAACCTAATTTCACCTCACCTCACCTCAAGTCGGTTGTAAAAGGAACTCGTATTATCACGCAAGCTTACCGAATTTATGGTACGTAGTTTCTGGATGGCGCTCCTACCTCAATTCTACACGCGTAAGCTTACGGCGCATACCAACGGTGGAACCAGAGCTAACGGATCTGCCACTCTGAACACGATCGGCCATTTCCGCTGAAAATAGACGGTTACGGAAAGTGACGAGGTTGGCCGATTGTAGTTATAGCTCTTGTATCGATCGAATCATGAGAAAAAGCATTTTAAATAATATAATTTATATATTCATTATATATGATTTTTTTATTTAGATGCATTAGGGTAAGTACTTCGGTCGACGTAAGTTGCCAATGCATAATAATCCCGTGGCTCGTGTTGCTCTGATGAACAGCCTCGAATTATTGATTCATATTAAAGAAATATTATATATATATTACTAACCAGGTACTGATAGAATATCTGTATTCTGAAGTGCGTCTGTGAAATCGAATTTTCGATTGTTGATAAAAAAAAAAATACTTCGGAATCAGTAACGCAACTTTGATAATGATATGCACTCAGGTCATTCAACTTTTAATAATCGAACACAGGTACTGTAGA